TAATATAACTCTGATTTAAAAAAAAAAAAAAATAAGAAGCTGGAAACGCTGTAGCTACCTCATATAGGTTTTTCGATGCTGCGTAGTGCAGTGGGGTGCAACCATTCTGGTTCACAGCGTTCAACTGAGCTCCTTTGGATATTAAGGATCTCACAATTTCTTCTCTCCCAGCAGATGCTGCTATATGAAGAGGAGTCCAACATGCCTGAAATGATATAAAAGGGTAAAGAACTCCACCAAGAGGATATGCAGTGAATGACAAAGTATCAATATTGCTATTATCTGGACATGTAAACACACACAAAAAATTGATGTCATGTAATAACTCCACTTCTAAATCAATTGGAGATCAGCAATAACGCTGAGAGCGAAGTTTCTTTTTAAATGCAATAACTTTAACTGATGCAGTGTGAGGTTCTGGACTGAAGCATGACACAATGCTGACTCACATCATCTTTGAGATCCACTTCGACTCCAAGATCCAACAGAAACTGCACGATAGCCACATGTCCAGCTGAACAAGCCCAGTGCAGAGCAGACCTGCTGTCCTGTAAGAAACGGGAGCGTTCAGAGCACTTTAAACTCGTGACAGACCGCTATCTCTGAATAAATGAATAGACTTCAATATAGCATCATGCTAACCGCTGTGGATGCGCACCGACACTTCCCACTTAACCTTACCTGGTCTGTTTTGGTCGCTAGTGAGCTGTCAGACAACACGCATTTTTTAAGTTCTTCAAACTTTCCAGTATAAGCTAAATTACAGATTTCTACATTTGATACTCTTCCCTCCATCTCAGACTTCGGAGAGCACCAGTATGACAATCTAAATGGCCCCGTCCCAAACAGACAAGCTGCAATTTCATTGGATAAAACAACTTACTTAGGTGCCGCAGAATGGTGCCTGATTAAAAGAAATATACAATAACTAACAAACGTACCTAAAGTTGTAATAAAGCTGATTGAGTCATTCATTTGGCTAGTTTGTAAGTTATATAATAGCCGTACAAATAACAATAATAAAAAAGCCAATGTAGCACCACATTCTTTATATTTAGAAACTTTAGATTCTATAAATTCTTTATATGTAGATTTATATTTAAAAGAATATGTTTTTTAAATGATTACCCTGAAACTACAATACATTTATTGTGGCTTTGTATTACATTTTAGTATCAAATACAAAGAGTGATTGTGAGAAAGCTATGAAAACATTGTAAAACATTTTCACCTTACTGTTGTGGGAAAATGTACGTTGGCTTCCAAAATGATCGAAAGACATATGATAAAACAGTTTTTTTTTTTTCATTTATTAATTAATCGTGTTACGATTTTACTAATTTACATATGCATAAATGCAAACTAGAAAATCCAAACCAATAACAACAAGGAGAAAACGAAAGTAAGTACACTGGCCATTTTTTTT